GAAAATAAGGTTTTGTAATAAAATACACATACTGCTTGTCATCACTTCTACACTTGCAGTTGCCTTTCGGGATAAACTCCAACTTCATTAGGATTCAAAGGCCGTTACGACTGCTGCTCAGCGAAGTTAATGCCTAAGCTCTTCTGACGCCATGGCTCCTGCATGGCCATCTTTGGCCTTTAGGGATTGTCCTTTTAACCTGTTTCGTTACAACCTGGGTTGGCAGTGGGTGTACTAACGTATTTGGCAATCCAGTTGTCACCCTTTTCCCAAATTCCCTGTATACTGTGCCCGGTGCGATAGGTAATCTTGTATTAAATGAGGAAAAAAAGAGGTTTTTTGTATTTTTTGTAAAGGTCAATGTATGTGTATACAGGGTGTAAGAAATATCAGGCAACTGTTCAGAACTTACTTTTGTGCTGACAAAAGTAAGCACTGATTATTCATAAAATGTTTCTTTGGATCTAATGTCCCACTCTGTTGAGCTGTGATAATGGAAGGGAGCAGAGTAAGATTTGTTTGCTTAAGTAAACAATGAAGTTGCTGTAAATATCTTTGCTTGAGCTCATCCTCTTTGTCGAATAACCTACCCATAGCCCAGGTTCAGGCTAATTTTAGATTTCTCAGTAGGCGAAGAAGGTACTCCTTCCTTTTCTGCTTTCACGCCTAGCTATCAATCTGCAAGAGGTAATTCACTCTGACAGGCTTTTCCTACCAGCTTTGATATCTCTCCTTTTAATTCTGCCAAACCAAGCACAGCTCTAATAAAATTTCCAGAGAAAGAAACTCCAAAGGCAGAGTTTTCTTAATGCTGTGCCCGTAACCGCTCCGTGTCCGTTCAGTCAGGATGCCATCGATCCTGGTAGCTGTATTAACTCTGTGATGTTGGCTAAGGGCATATTCAACTCCTCTTTGTTTTGTGAACTAGTGAAACAAGGTATTTGGGTGCATTTTAGAATTTGTGTTAAAGGCACTATAACCAAAGAGACATAAACAGGAATTTAAATAGATTATTGTTGCTTGCAGGTACAGCTGCACAAGCAAATATGCTTCCTGCAAAGAGGTTCCCAGCACAGCAAAGTGTGGGAGACACTGACATTGCCACTCTGAGGCTGAAGACAGTCCCACCTCTCCTGCCTGGTGAGTCTCAGCAGTTCTCATAAGCACTCTGTAGTCTTTTCCGGATGACCTTTTTGCTAGTCAGAAGTGTGGTGACTGGGAGTGAAGACAAACCACCATGAATCAGGAGTTTTATAGAATGGTGTTAATGGTTCTTCTCATGAGATTCAGTGAGTGTGTAACAATGCCAAATCATAGGAACTGTTTTTTGCATTTTGTCTTATCATTAACTCCTCAGAAATTGGTGCGTCTTTTTCTTTACAGAGACTATGCCCATGTGAGTTGGTTATGTAGGAATGGGATCAGAATGAGTGAACAATCATGTAAAGCACGGAAGTGTTTCAGGGAGGTTATGCTGGGAGAAAGGAGCTAATGCAGGCAGTGAGAATTTTTTTGATGGTCCTGTCCATTACAATTCAGTCATCTGGTTGGTTATGAAATACAGTGTCATGCAAAAGAAGTCCCAGGGAAAAAGAATACTAGTTTTTTGGGCTGTTGGTTTGTTTGGGTTGGTTTGGGGTTTTTTTGGTTTGGTTTTTTTTTTTCTGGTGCAGTGGAGCTGCATTGCTTGTTTTGTTAAAGTGTTCTCTCTGACATTAAACCCATGGAAATTAATGAGGAGAAATTTAAGAATGCAAAAAATCAGTCTCAGTTCAGAGTTTAGGAAAAGGTCAGAGAATAAGAATGTGAGTGGAAATATTCCCAGGGCATCTAGCTGGGGCTGTGCTGCGTGTTTGTTGCAGCCGCAATTACAATGAAAGTCCCAGAAGACTCTGCAGTGAAATGTTACATGACTTTGACATCATTCAAATCCTTTCCTTGCGGCTGTTGTGGGAAACACCCGTTACTTGCTTACCTAGAGAACTAGAAGTAGGTCATCGGGGTTTAAGGAGTTGGTAGATACTTCAACATGAATTGCTAAATGCTGTGGGAAATACTATCTGAAATGGGATATTTGGGAAACACTAACGGAAGGGGAAGTTCCCATCCGCAAAAAAGGCTTTTTTTTCCTCCAGCTGATAATAAAACATGGAGCCTGTGGTCCAGCCACTAATATCTATTCAGTTTTCCATTTTTCTCTCAATAATCCTGGAGTGCCCACTGCAATATCAATTTTTATTTGAAGTCTGTTCTAACTTATTCTGGCCGGTATTTGTAAATGACAAATCTAACATCTCTGTGGAGCAAGAAATGTAGCTGATCGTGAACGGGTGGATAGCCAGCTAAGACATCTTATGCTCTTAGTTGAACTTCCCAGTCAGCGTTAGTTGGGGGATTCAAAGGAAATGCTGCCAACTTTAAAAAAAACCTGATTTAATTCTGGAAATATCATGAGGTCAAGTAACACAGAGTTGAAGAACTAAAAAAGATTAGATTTTTTAAAAAGATCAAAAATTAGTTTATTAGAATTGTGTGTTTAGCACTTGTGAATGGTCATTCTTACCATTTCTCTTGTGAGTTCAGCTGGTTTCCAGTATGGAAAAAGTTCCTTATAAATACAGCAAAATGCATTGCTTAGGATAAAGGAAACCTTACACAATAAGAGATGCCAATATTTTTTAATTTGAGAGCTAGAATAAGATAATATATGTAGCTGTTTAGCAGGTACGAATAACAGTTGCAAATAACATGTTCAATTTAGCTGTAGTTATGCTAATGGCAAACAGAAGATTGGAAAACATTGAAGGTAAAAAGGTTCAGAAAGAAAAAAATTAATTGGGGCATAGTTCAGAAACAAAACTTAGTCACAAAGATGCCAGCACAAATATTTGTTGCTTTTTATAGAATAATTTTTATTATCCTTATCTGTGTTTACTCACTATTAAAAAGGTCAAGATAATTTGTGTGAATAATACCCAGTTACCTTATATGGAGTAAGATAATTTTATCTTAGGTAATAAAAGGATTCTGTGTCGAGGCAGAAATCGTCTGCCATTGCACCAGTGCTCTCCTCATCCCAGCCAGTCTCTGTGGGGTGCTCATTAGTAGAAGCTTTTACTTAGGACTTCAGGTAAGCTGTGTAAGTTTTTTCCTCCCTAACAGATTAATTACCTGTGAGCACTCCTTGAAGGAACTTTTCAGCTGTAGATGGGAATATTTATTTTCTCACACATCTATTTTCTTTCTTCATTATCTGTGTGATCATAAATTTCATACATTGTCTTCTAATGTTTAAGACTTGCATATTGTGTTTGCAGTGCATTGTTCTTTGCTTATTCACTGTTGCTTATTTAAAATTTCAAGTGAAATTCTTTCATCTGTTATTATGAGAACTTTTTAACTTTAGGGTAAGTGGTTTAAACCATCATGATTCCTAGCTCAGAGTAGAGAAGGTGGGGTGAAAACACTAACTATCCCTGTACTGATACCAATACAACTAAGAACTTCTTAAAGTGACAATGTAAATATTTATACTTTCCAGCTGTAGTTGTTGAAAAACAGATGTATTCTTTCAGGCTTTAACTGATTCCCCAAGATGTTTGCAAAAGCAACAAAGAATTTTGTGAGGGAAACTGACAGTGGAGGTGACTTGATCCCTGTCTCCCACCTGAATTCCTCAGACAAGCTGCAGCTTCTGAGCTTAGTTACGAAGAGGAAGAAATTCTGGTGCTGGCAGAAGCCCAAGTATCATTTCTTGACAGTCACCCTGAGTGATGTGCTTACTGAAGACAAACCAATAAAACCAGGTAAAGGCACGCTTGGGCAGCACTATTATTGCAGATAAAAAGAGTGCATAGCCTAATCTTTTTTTGTTATTATTCTCGATCGTGTTACTAGAGTGCTCCTTTTAGAGGAATGCTCTGAAGTATTCTCCATCTGTGGAAATGAGATGACTGGATCTTTTCTTACTTGACTATTCGTTTAACTGAAAGCAGTAATAATAAATGTGTGTTTAAAAAACATAATGTTTTGCCTAGATAGACTACTGAAATAGTGCTGAAGGTTATCAAGCTGTACAGTCCTACTGTTTAGTAACAGGGCTGACTGCAGCCACAGGAGCTCCCATAGAATATTTTTGAAGGATTCAGTATATGACAGTAGCGCAAAACCATAGTGTGCTCCAGGTCAAAAAGCACTGGACGAACAGTGTCTTGGCAATAGTTGCCCAGGGAATGCTTGCACAGGCAAGGCTGAGCAAGTTTTACCACTGCTTCCTTTCTTCTTGCACAGACTGTTAAAAATGGTTGACCCTTGTACTTCTTTCTTCATCCAGCTGCAGCAGTCCTAACCAAGTTTTAGGATTAACGATCTGGAATCCCCCATTTCTGGGCATGTCACAATTCCATATAAGAAAATAGATAAGTCCCTAAATTTAGATGTTAATTGTAGCTGGCTTGGAAGATTAGCTGATTCTGAGTCAGTTCTTTGGCTTTCAGATGTATAAGATTGAGAGTTGTTTTAAGCCAGTTAGATACTTCCATTGGTTTTCAGTCAGCTTTGGGACAGCTCTGTAATGAGATATGTCAAGATAATGGCAAAATATTAACCCTATTGTACAAGCAGGTGTGCTTTGTATTTTTTCTTTTAGCTGAAATAAGTTTCAAACATTCTTTATATATCTTCCATAGCATCTGAGCTCAGCATTTCAATCACATTATGTTTTCCTAAAATGGCAAAATATAAAAGATAGTGAAGCAAAGATGATGAAAATATGGAGGAAGCAGAAGTAAGAGTTGCAGAGCTGTAAATTTCGTTACTTACCTACTCAATACTGTTCCTTACCTTCACTACCTTGTCATATTTTCTGTAAGTTTCACTTTAGGACCATTTCAGCACTTCTCTTCACAGGTAGAAATTACTTTTATTGCTTTCCTAGTAATTGTGGAGTCTGACTTTGCAAAATATATGGGGAAGTTTGAAGATTTTCTTCAAGGAAGTATTGAAACTTCATTTGGAAAGATCAACCTGGGAGCTGGAGGGAAGGGCTATGTGGAAAACCAGTCCTCATTTGGAAACCTGAGGAAGCAGGAGATTGACTTGCAGCAGCTTATGAAAGACGTCAAGGACAGGTATGTTTTTAATGTGGGCATTGTAATGGCCAGGAAAGATTACTGAGCTGAAAAGACTTGGGCCGGCTGTGATCACTGAACAATTGATGCTATCGTGTTGCCATAGTTTGAGAATTATTTTTATTGTAAGCTCTCATTTTCAGGTGATAAATTGTATAGACAATAATGAAAATTTCCAGATTTTGAAAGTTTTATGGCCAAACCTTTCCCTTTCATTTTAAAAACATCTCTTTGCAATTTCATCTTGTGTATTTGCATGAATTACCACATGGAACAAGAGCCAAATCCTCCCGTCTTTGGGGGACTATACTGAGGTACCAATCTGGGAGAAAAATGGATTGGTTTCTCTCTGTAACTGGGGCAAATGCTATGGAAACTGAAATCAGAACTACTAATGTTCTTGTAAGCAGGCTTTATAATTTTGTGTGTGTGAGCGACTGTGCTAGAAAATTGGATTATTTGAAGTTGAAGGAATAGCAAAGGTGAGCAAGCATGGTCAATGCATATTCTATGGGTTGAACAAAATAGTTTATAGGTTGCTCACTGTTATACACTGTAATAGCTATACGGAACTAGAATCTTAATTTTACAAGAAATGCAGCGCTTCCTGTCCTACTCTGAAATTGGGACCGATTTGATCTTGCAATAAGACAGTCATGGACCAAAGCCTACTTGGCAACCAACTGACAAGTCAGGGGGCTGCTCTGTATTGCAGGTCCTGACTCGTGGGAGATGAGGGTGGTTTGTTTGTGACAGCATTGTACCCTAGGTCTGTAGCAGGTGATGTAATGCATTTTAATAGACTTTGCTGATGCTCTGAAGATAAAGATGATAGGTTTTTGTTATCAGTGCAAAAGTGGTCAGGAGCAATGTGCATTTTTTTAGATACACTGATGTTCTAGAAACAATCAATTTTCAGTGTTCACAGGAACAAATGGCTGCTGTTCTCTTTATCATGATCGTTCACAAGTCAACAAACTTACTCTAATAAGGCACCTTGCTATCTTTGTACTAGATACCTTAATAAAAGCAGAAAATACTGGGCTAAATGTGCATACCAGGGCTGTAAAATTAGTATGCATCTGGTATCAGAAAAATAGTGTCAGCCAAGATGTAGAATCTTGTTTCTAACACTAGATAGAGTCCTATGGAAAACCAGACTAGAGTGACTTCTATTTAGATCAGTAAGCTTTTACTTAGTTTTCTGCAGGAAGTTACCTACTGTGTTCAAATGAATAATCTTCCCATAGCCAATCAGATTTACTTCAGCACATCTTAGGGTTATAATCCTGAATGTAACTAAATACTTAGAAATATATTATCTTCTTTTGTGTGTGGAAAATCAGTAGTTCTACACTGATCTGAATATACCTGTAAATGAGGTTAATGTGTGTGCCATTTTATGTAAGGAGCTACTTCCTAGTTCATAGAAAAGATGCTCATAGCTTATTAAGGCTTGTGATGCAAAATGTGTAATTGATACACAGTCTGGCTTCTGCCAGGTCACTGAAAATGATGAGGATAGCATAATTATTTTTTTTTTCTTCATCATAACACCAAGGCTTACTGGAAATTGTGGCAATGCCTTACAAATGAAATTCCAGTTACTCATTCATAAATATTCTATGATTTATGATGGACTGTGTCCAAGCTTCTAGCTTTTGTCTCGTTCATAGGGCATTGTGTGGAATTCAGGAATTCAGCATTCGGGAGTGCTGTTGTCTACAAGTTAGTGTTTTTTGGATACAAAGCATTATGGTACTAAGAGGATGTTTACTTGTCAGTCCTGGTGAGATGAGTCAGCTAAGTGTTCTTGATGTCATCTAATGACGTATGTTGCTTGTGCTTGCTAGATCAACTGTTGTTTCATTTATTGTTTCTACATATATAGCCTAATTAAGTTGTATTTTAAACTGTTGTTCTTGTATTAGGCTGTTTAAGTCAAAGTTGCAGAAAAATCTAAAAAAAAATAAATAGTCAAAGCTGATAGAGCTTCTAAACTTCTTCAAGGTTCAGCAAGCTGGAAGTGCTGGGTGGCAGCAAATCGGTTTTCTGTCACTTCTTATGTGAACCTTCTGAAGGAGAATCTTACTGATCTTTTAATTAGATTCCAGATGCAGCATTGGCTCTCCTTTTCTGAGAAGGGATGACAGCTGAAGGATGTGGGATGAGATCCTTCCTGATTTGCAGAAGCAATGACATTTTAAATGCAGAGCACACTTATTAACATAATGTGCAATATAAAAATAAGGTTAAATGGTACTTTTAGGTATACAGACTTAGCATATTTTATTTTACATTATTCTTTTCATATTACATTATGCTTGCTAATTCACAGAGTACTGTAACGTACTGCTTTTAGGTCAGGGTCCTATGCCTTTAACTCTGTGAGATTGCTATGGATTTAAGAGTATATTCCATCTTCTATTTTAAGGCTTTCAGTACATCTGCCATATCGAGAAGCTGATGAAGTGTGGACTGGATGAGCAGACAGTGAGGTGGATTGAAAACTGGCTGAGTGGTTGGGCCCAGAGGATATTGATCAGTGGTACAAAGTCTGGTTGGAGGCCAGTGACTAATGATGCTCCCCAGGGGACAACACTGAGTCCAGTGCTGTTTAACATCTTCATTAGTCGTCTGGGTGGTGGGGTCGATGAGCGTACCCTCAGCAAGTTTGCTGATGACACAAAACTAAGAGGAATGGCTGATACACCCAGAGGGTCATGCTGCCATCCAGAGGGACCTCAGCAGGCTGGGCTGGTGGGAATGTCATGCAGTTCAATAAAAGGAAATGCAAAGTTCTGCATGTGGAACAACCCCAAGCTCCAGTACATGCTGAGGGCTGACTGGCTGGAAAGCATCTTTGCAGAAAAGGACCTAGGGGTCCTGGTGGACACCAAGTTGGACATGAGCCAACAACGTGCCCTCGCTGCAAAGGCGGCCAACAGTATCTTGGACTGCATGAGGAGTATTGCCAGCAGGTTGGGGAAGGTCATCCTTCCCTTCTACTCACCGCTTCTGAGGCCACACCTGGAGTACTGTGTCCAGTGCTGGGCTCCCCAGTACAAGGGAGAGATGGAGCTGCTGAAGAGTCCAGAAAAGGGCCATGAAGATGATGAAGTGACTAGAGCACCTCACTTTTGAGGAAAGGGTGAGAGAGCTGGGACTGTTCAGCCTAGAGAAGAGAAGGGAAGGTTCAGGGGGATCTCATCAGTGTGCATAAACACCTGAAGGACAGATGCAAAGAGGACGGAGCCAGGCTCTTTTCACTGTGCCCAGTGACAGAACAGGAGGCAGTGGGCACGAACTGCGACACAGGAGGTTCTGTCTGAACATCAGGGAATACATTTTCACTGTGAGGATGACCAAGGACTGGCACGGGTTGCCTATAGAGGTTGTGGAATCTCCTTCCTTGAAGACATGATCCTAGGCAGCCTGCTCTGGATGGCCCTGCTTGAGCAGGGGGGTTGGACCAGATGACCTTCCAACCTCAACGCTACTGTATTCTCCCCTCCAGTGACAAGGATTATGAGAAGGCTATAATCTCTGTAGTTTTCATGGATTAACAAATTTGCTTGTTTGTTTTTTAGCATTTCACTAAGTTGTGTTAGGTGATTGAAATAGAAGTTCTGAGAGGACAGTGACAGCAGAGGGAAAGAAATATGACCAAGTGGCAGCAGTCAGTCAGACCACATCAACTGCAGAAAGGTTTGCCTGTCACACTTCCATTATTTCATTTGAATGATTCCTAACTCTGTGATTAGGATATTAGAAAAACAGGGTGTTAGTAGTAGTATACACTGGCGTGATTGAAAGATATTTTTTACACTATTGCATATTGCACTTTAATATGCACTGTCATTGATTCAAATATTGTCCACACTGAGACAAAAAATAGGTGCCTGTTCCTAATCTGAGTGCAGTAGAAGTTCAGCCCATTTTGTTATTTATTCTTTAAAACTCCCGGAGCATTTATGTGTATGATGAGAAAACTAGTCAGTTTTCTACTGAAGTTACTGCATGGGTAATCTGAAGTCATAGAGTGTTACAAGACAGGATTGAAAAAAATCTGTTGTGTGTGTCTGTGATTTAAAAAATGAGGATGCCAAATAGAAAATAGAGGAACTATCTGTCACTTGCATTCTCAAAAGTCTCCGATATTCTTGGGGAAGATGTTCTATATTTCAGGGTATTCTGTAGGGAA